TCCTATAGGCGACCTGTGCTACTTTGGGCCTGACTCCCGCTGTCACACTCTCAGGGGAGTCTGGAACTTAGCCACAAGGGAAGCCCTCTCTCCATTGGCCTCCATCACCAGGTCTTTGATACCGGCGCTTTGTGTGACGGTAGTTCCTTAACAACTGCACATAGCTCCTCCATAGTAATGGGGGCATTCAAGAGTAATCTATCTTCCCTTTTTAGTTTAGGGAGATGAAAGGCTGAAAAAAAGGCGTTGACAGAATCTCTTTGGAAAGTGGGATGTACATCTGGCGACAAGCAGTTGTAGATGTCTCCGAACACTTGGGCTATCTGTTGGCGGTAATACGTGGGGGAGCCATCCTTTTGAAACAAAAAATCAGGGGCATGAGTAGTCGAATGTGTTTTCAGTTTATTAACCAGCATTCTATGGGGCTTATTGGCGTATTGTAAAACTTCTGTCTCATACATAACAGTTTCTTCGCTATAGAACTATCCTCAAATGATGTAAGTTGATCTTTAAGTTGTACCACTAAGTGAAGTTTAGGTAAAGAAGGTGAATCGATGAGTTTTTCTTCCGCTTGAGATAATTGGTCCATAAGGTCAGTTTTCTGATGGATCAGTGACTTTTTGAGCTTTCAATTATAAAATGATCCGTAATAAACGCTTTATGGACTTCCCACAGAATTTAAGAGGCTGACACAGATCCAGTATTGAGTTAAAAAACTCACGCAATGCTGTCGAAATAGAAGAGTTGACTCCTGCTTGATACAGAAATGTGTCATTTAGGCGCCAATGGCATGTGCGTGAATTTAGTTGCTCTACAAACAGATCTAGAACCAAAAATAAATGATCAGACCAGGAGCTGGGGATAATATCGGAGCCTACTGTCTGTTTAAGTAAGGGAGCTGAAAGCAAAAAGTAATCTAGTCTGATGTAGATATGATGCACTGGGGAAAAGAACGAAAACTGTTTAGCATTCGGGTGTTGTATTCTCCAAATATCAAACAGCTTATGTCCTCTAATCCATTGACGAAAGGAAGTGGACTGTTTCAGAACATGTTTCGAGGGCATTTGTCCCCGAAGGGATCTCCTATCTCGGGCTGCCGATATAGATAAATCAAAGTCTCCTCCAATAATCGTGAAAGGGTGAGAAGATGCCAAAAGCGGGGAGATAGTATCTTAAAAAGAACACCAATTGATTAGTATTAGGAGCGTATACGTTAATAATTGAAATATAGACATCACCATATTAACATTGCAATAGTATAAATCTGCCTTGGGTGTCTAGTACAGAAGATAACACCTAAACAGGGCAACCTTTCTTGAAGAGAATAGCGACACTAGCTTTACCTGTGCCGTCCATGGCGGAGAATGCTACAGGAAAATACTTGAGGGCAAAGTTAAATGAGCTTCCCTTTTTGAAATGTATTTCCTGGATAAGAATAATATCAGCTTTAGACTGATGGAATTCCCTAAGAGCTATTGACCTCTTCCTCATTGAATTTACACCCTTAACATTACATGAGTAAAGTCTTACAGACATGTTTGGCGTATTCTGAATATGAAGCAGTTGTATGCAGGGCAGTATGACAAATAAACCATGCTGTTTTAACAAAGAGTAACACAACAAACATTGACTAAGGAAGACACATCCAGTGCGTCGCAAAATTACTAGCAGACACAGAGTAAACAAATCCAAAAAAGGAAACAAAATGCAGACATAGTGAGATACCAAAATATGGAGAAGGCCTGAGCAGCCAAGGCCACCCAGACATCTATAGCAGTAGCTGTACTGTAGATGTTTGGGGACAACATAGGGAGGGTGAAAACCAGGCGGTAACTTCACTCCTCTCTTGCAAATAACAGGATATCATCTGAGAAGATCCCGATAGGGTGTCGGAGGTATCCTCAAGAGGATATAAAAATTGACGGGTATAGCATATCTATAGACATTAAGTCATAAGTGGCAACAGCTGCACTTAGGATGTCATCAGGGGACAGAAGAAAACCGGAAAGCAGGAGACCAATGAAGAATCGGGAGGCGTGTCTTATTTCTGGATCTTGCTGGGGTCCGCATCTTGTTAGGAGTGTTGACCGCTCTTGGCTTGGGTAGGTGTAGTGCTAAGGCTTCATCAGAGGGGCTAGTCCCAAGTTACGCAGAAATGCCTCTCCTTCTTGAATATCTCTGATAGTGTGTTGAGTGCCATCTTTTTTTATGGTTAACCTGAACGGGAAGCCCCATCTGTATACAGTATTATGCTTCTGAAGGTAGAGAGTAAGTGGGCGAAGTGTACGTCTCTTAGACAGTGTGATAGGGGACAAATCAATATAGATTTGAATTTTTTCCTCTCTAAAATCAACCGAGGCAGTGTTACGCGTGGAATTTAGCAGAGATTCCTTACTATCATAGTAGTGAAACCGAACAATGATGTCTCTTGGTCTCGCGCCCAATGGAGGTTTCGGGGAAAGAGAGTGATGGGCTCTATCCATTCGCCAATCTGTCTAGAACCGCCGGGGCCAATGCGGTGAACAGACTCCACAGATAATCTTGCAGATCTGCGTCTCCTATTGATTCAGGAATGCCTCGTATATGGAGATTTTGTCTCCGTTCCCTATTCTCCAGGTATTCCTGTACGGATTAGCAGAGACATCTGTTGCTTCAAAGTATGATTGTCTTCATTGTACATGTACATACTGCGCCAGATCATCAATTTTGTTTCTAGGTGATCTGTACGTTCTTCCACTAATGCTTTTCCCCTCTGAGTTCCTGAGCTATTTTCCCCGCTGCTGCAGAGATAGTATGGGATAAACTTTTCAGAAGATCATGTAACTTATCATCCAGAATGTCTGCTGTGAGGTAGTGGATAGGAGAAGGGGGATTTAGGGCAGTATGATGAGTTACCTCCTCCTTGTGACCTGTCTGATTCTACGGTTCTGCTTCTGGGATCATGGGATCACTCGGGATGCGGCCCATGAGACATATCTATCCATATGTGTAGGCCGCAAGTGTTTGGCGGGTGGGTGATGGGGGTACTTCTGATGCCCAATTTTGCCCATGGGGATCAGCAAGTGGTGCTAAGTCCGGTACCTGTTCTCCTCTGCTTGAAACAGCTGATGTTGGCTCCGGAGAAGCGGGTAGAGAGAGCGGTGAAGCGGAGTGGGATCAATGTGTGACCGCCATCTTTAGCCTCCCCACATGTGCCCATGATTATTTTTTAATATCAAATTTTTGTCCTAAGTTTAGAAATCTGTCATTTTGTCCCCAGTTCCCAACTATTCTGCCACTGATTCACCAATGTGCGCAGGGAAGGCCTGCCAACACAACTACTGCCAATACCTAATGGAAAAGGAAAAAGTAGTGGAAGTCGCACATCTCTGCAAAACCCTGTAAAAAGGTGTATGACAGCTGCAGCCCGGGCTCCAACCAGGCCACATGTCAAACTATGAAAGATAAAAATTCCCAGCTCAATTTACATACCAGCCTGCTGCAAACCAAACTGCCCTGTCTAACAGTTTGCATTAAAAACAGGGGTTTAGTTTGCACACATTTGCAAAATACTTTTGTAAGCTGCAGAGCCTCTTCATGGCACCCCAATATTCTGCAGTTCCTAAAACTATAAATTTTGAGAGCCTCCATAGTATGAACACATGTATCATAATGGATAGACTGAGGGCAGGTGAGCCTGGAGGGAGCCCACCCCTCAAAAGTACAGGGGTGTACTGGACACCCAACATACTGTATAGCACAATGGCAGCCAAGGTGTCCAGTGCAGCCCCTCACCAGTATACAAACAAAAGGCCACTACCCCAATCTATAACTGGACTTCACAGCAAGTAGCACAGGGGAGGGTGAGGCATGTCAAACAGTAAAAGAGAAAAATTCCCAGTTAAACTTAATATAGATGCATGTGTGCCCCCATAGCAAGTGGCTTACTGTGGTGGTGCAAGCAGAAGGGGAGGAACTGAGAGTGCCGGCTGGGGAACCCAGAAGAGGAGATTTGGAGTCGTTCTGTGCAATTCAGTTGCACAGAGCAGGCAAGTATAAACTTGTTTGTTATTTTACAAATGTTTTAATTCACTAAGCTATAATGCACGTTTATTGTCTTTACAGTCATAATTGTTGCACATTTGACTGTTATTTTAAGCTCTCATTAGCAGTCAATATAGTTTAGTGTAATAAGGCTGGATATAGATGATTCATTTTTTTTTCGATTAGCCCTCTGGGGCTGATGGGGAAAAAAGAACAGATTCCTCCATCCAAACAAACAAGGAGAATGGAGGAATCCTTCCTGCTGTGCTATTGTGTTCTGACAGCGGGACGACTGTCAGAATACACTGACCAGTGCTACAGCCACTGATCGAATGAAGGTTTTCCAACAGTCCTGTTCAACAGAAATCAATCGTTAGATTCACTTCTGTCGAGCAGGAACAGCCATAGATGGATTGAAATTTGTCTGGTTCCTGCTGGACCGGCTGAGTTTCAATCCATCTATGACCATCTTAACCTTGTTATCTCAGTTACCAAGAGGCAAATAGCCTGGTAGCTGAGCACTTTTTAATTAACATCAGATGGATTGAAAACTAAAAGCAATGTTTTTTTCACTTAGCTCCATTTGTGAAATCAATGTTTGATTCACAATAAAATGTAGGACTATTGTTCTCCTCTACAATACTAAAACATCAGGAGATGAAGAATTCATTCTGCTTCACTGTATTTGGATGGATTGGCTACCTTGAGAGCTTTTTCTTGGAAACCCCCTGCTTTTTTGCAGCTATGTTACTAGGTGTTACTTGGTTACCTTGGTGTCAGACTGTGCTTCCCAGACTTTCTCCTTTTTCTCGGGATCTATGATCATATCTGTATTAATGGGCACAATCTGCACTGGGCTAATGGTTCTATGAAGGAAAATATTTATTTAGTACACTCCTTTATTGACCATGGTTGAAAAGGAACTCCTGAGTTTTCCATGTAGCATTAAGAATATTTTTTATTTATTTATGTTCTAGTTATGCAGAAAGCTTGGAGAGAAAGAAGTCCTCAGTTGAGAGTAAAGGCTGCCCATCAAGCCCTAGAAGCATCCAATGAGTAAGTAATTTCACCGCTTCCCTCACCCGATTTACATCTTTACATTCCCCTGTATGCCCCATGCCATCGGAACGGTTTCCACCATGACAGCTAGCAACCTACACTATGTGCAGCCACTAGCTGCCAGACCCAGAGGTCACTGACCCCTAACAACTGGGAACCAGAGTTGTTCCCAATAATATGATCACTCACTCTACTTTTATCTGCTTTCCCGCCACCCTATAGCAGAAATACTGCTACACAGCGGCAGGATGCGCAAAATCACGTGTATACAGTGAGGAACAGAAGTATTTGAACATCCTGCGATTTTGTTCTCCCACTTAGAAATCATGGAGGGATCTGAAATTCACATTGTAGGTGCATTCCCACTGTAAGAGACAGAATTAAAAACAAATTCAGGAAATCACATTGTATGATTTTTAAAGAATTTATTTGTCTTGCACTGCTGAACATAAGTATTTGAACACCTGAGAAAATCACTGTTAATATTTGGTACAGAAGCATTTGTTTGCAATTAGAGAGGTCAAATGTTTCCTGTAGTTCTTGACCAGGTTTGCACACACTGCAACAGGGATTTTGGCCCACTCCTCCACACAGATCTCCTCTAGATCTGTCAGGTTTTGGAGCTGTCGCTGAGCAACACGGAGTTTTAGCTCCCTCCAAAGATGTTCTATTGGATTTAGGTCTGGAGACTGGCTAGGCCACTCCAGAACCTTGATATGCTTCTTACGGAGCCACTCCTTGGTTATCCTGGCTGTGTGCTTTGGGTCGTTGTCATGTTGGAAGGCCCAGCCACGACCCATCTTCAATGCTCTGACTTGAGGGAAGGAGGTTGTTGCTCAAAATCTCACAATAAATGACCCCATTCATCCTCGCCTTAATACAGTGCAGTCGTCCTGTCCCCTTCGCAGAAAAGCACCCCCAAAGCATGATGTTACCACCCCCATGCTTCACAGTAGGGATGGTGTTCTTGGGATGCACAACTCATCCTTCTTTTTCCTCCAAACACAACGAGTGAAGTTTAGACCAAAAAGTTCTACTTTGGTCTCATCTGACCACATGACTTTCTTCCATGCCTCCTCTGGATCATCCAGATGGTCATTGGAATACTTCAGACGGGCCTGGACATGTGATGACTTGAGCAGGGGAACCTTCCTGTGCAATGCATGATTTGAAACCATGATGGGTAGTGTTCTACCGACAGTGACCTTTGAAACTGTGGTCCCAGCTCTCTTCATGTCATTGACCAGCTCCTCCCTTGTAGTTCTGGGCTGATTCCTCACCTTTCTTATCATCAGTGATACCCCACGAGGTGAGATCTTGCATGGAGCCCCAGTCCGAGGGAGACTGACAGTCGTCTTTAGCCTCTTCCATTTTCTAACAATTGCTCCAACAGTTGATCTATTTTCACAAAGCTGCTTGGCAATTGCCCCGTAGCCCTTTCCAGCCTTGTGGAGGTCCACAATTTTGTCTCTGGTGTCTTTTGACCGTTCTTTGATCTTGCCCATGGTAGTAGTTGGGTGTGACTGTGGGGTGACACTTTAAAGAGCTCAGACAGGTGCTACTAAGTTATGTTAATGAGTGGAGTAGAGGTGGACTTTTTAAAGGCACAGTAACTGGTCTTTGAGAGCCAGAATTCTTGCTGTTTCTTAGGTGTTCAAATACTTATGTTTAGCAGTGCAAGACAAATAAATTCTTTAAAAATCATACAATGTGATTTCCTGATTTTTTTTTTTTTTTTAAATTCTGTCTCTGAGTGGGAATGCACCTACAATGTGAATTTCAGACCCCTCCATGATTTCTAAGTGGGAGAACTTGCAGAATCGCAGGGTGTTCAAATACTTCTGTTCCTCACTGTATTTACAAGATTTTTCATTTCCGGTTAGGGGGGTGCGATCCCTACCCCCGCCACCATCAGCAGCCTTACATGAGGATCATCAGGTCCCGGCCGGTGATTCCCCGCCAGCACCTGGCGATCGCCGTGTATCACCAACGGGGGAGAGACCTGTATGTAAACAGTACAAATCTCTCCCCTGTCAGCTCCTACACATTGCTTTGTATTGCATAGCAGAGAAATACAAAGCAGTGTGCTTACACTGTAAAGCACACATACAGCACGCTTTAAAACAGCGCACAGTTAACCCTTTGATCGCCCCAGATGTTAACCCCTTCCTGGCCAGTGTCATCAGTACAGTGTCAGTGCTTTTTATTAGCACTGATCACTGTATTGGTGTCACTGGGGATGTCAGTGACAGTTAGTTTCCCCCCAAGTGTCAGAATGCCTGCTGCAGTCCAGCTATAAATTGTTGATCACCGCCATTACTAGTATAAAAGAAAAAATTAATATCTATGCTATAACTTTCACCTAAACAAATTAATTTACACGTATTGGGATTTTTTTGTAGCAAAGACATGTAGAAGAATATATTTTGGACTAAATTTATGACAAAATTTGATTTTTAAAATTTTTTTTACTAGACATGTAATAGCAAAAAGTCAAAAAAATATTGTTTTTTTTCTCAAAATTGTCGGTCTTTTCTTTTTTATATATAGTGCAAAAAATGCAGAGGTGATCAAATACCACCGAAAGAAAGCTCTATTTGTTGGGAAAAAAGTTATAAATTTAATTTAGGTGCAGCGTTGCATGATCGTACAATTGTCAGTTAAAGTAACACAGCGCCGTATCACAAAAAATAGCCTGGTTAGGAAGGGGGGTAAATCTTCTGCAGGGCAAGTGGTTAAGGCTCACTCCCTCCAGTATATCTATGAAGGAGCAGTGTTGTTGCCCTAGGAAGTGTGTTAAGACTACAAAACATCCTCTGCTTATCTCCATAACATAGGAGGAAGCGTTTTGTAGTCTCAGCACACTTCTTGATAACGTTGTTTGAAATAACGCTGCAGAGTGTTATTCAATTTCAGGCCATTAGAGGACAAGAGAAAGGAAAGAAATCAAATGAAAAGAGATTTAACCTTCACATACAGAAAGAAGACTTCTTCACAGTAAGAGCTGTGAAAATGTGAAATAGACTCCATCAAGAACTAGTTCTGGCTGGCTCAGAAGATGGTATAAGAAAAGAGCTGTACTTATTCCTAAGTGCACAAAATATAACTGGATACTGCCATTCATAGATAATAGCACCAAAGATTGTTGATCCAGGGTATATCTGATTACCTCCTGGAGGATCAGTAAGGGATCTTTCTCCCACTGAAGCAAATTGGAGCATGCTTCATAGGGTTTTTTTGCACTCCTCTGGATCAACTGTGGGTATAGAACTGTGTACATGGAGTTTTTGTTTCATTTATTCTTTCTACTGGTTGAACTAGATGAATTTATGTCTGTTGTCAACATTCTAACTATGAAACACATCAAGCTTAATCCCACCACTAAGCAACAGTGAAAGATGACTAACTCCACCTCACCCTGCGCTCAGGAAATAAATATAAAAAAAGTATATATATAAAACACAAAAATCACAACTTCACTGCTGCTGCTCTCTATGTGAAAACGTAAAGATTGTGAAAAATAAAGAGTGTAATAAATTACTGCTCCTGATTTTCCAAGCAGCACTGTGTTGTATGCAAAAATAAAATAAAGGTTCAATGTTAAAAACATTAAGAGTGTCTAAAAAAGACCACATGCACTATACAACTGAAATGTCCTCTGAAGTGCAATATAAAAAATATCCTCTGAAGTGATACAAAAAATTCCTCTGAAGTGTCACAAAAACAAAATGTCCTCTGAAGTGAATCCAATCATCACCATATGTGCTGTGAAACAACACCCCCCCTTGCTATACACTCACTGAATCCAAATACCTCTGATTTACATGATTGGCATATTGCACGTAATTGTAATTCCATGGGAAGTGCCGATGCATCATTCCTTCAGAAGTTAGGAAAAGCCCATAATGCATGTAAAGAAAGTAGCCCCAATAGTGAAGTATGCTAAAAACACTCTATGAACTGAAAATATCACTCACAATGTAAGAAGGATAATGGCCATATCACCATCTAGTGACATCAATCATATAGGATAGAGCTTATTCCACCACCTGTCACCCTGCCCAGACCTCTCTGTTAGTCCTATAGGATAGAGGTTATTCCACCTCCTCCAACCCTGCCCAGACCTCTCCGCCACACTAATGCGTCACTTCCGGTTCTGGGTTTGATGTCACTGTTGCCACATAGCCAAGGCCCGATGTGTTTCATCCTTTCAACTTTATTATGAGTGCTAGACTGGTTCTAAGGCTTAAATATTTTTTTACCTTTTAACCACTTGCCACTCCTGAGCAATAGATTACTGCGGCAGGGCGGCGTGTGCAGGCTCAGTAAATTATATATACATGATGGAGCCTGCTCCTGTTTAGGGGTACACAGCACACCCCTCCTGTTGTTTGATTGGTCATAGCGATGACATGACAAAAATTTAAATAACCTGTCATGAATGGATTTCCGTTCATGAACAGATTGCTTACTATTGTGATCTGTGATTGACCCACAGCAATCAAAATCAAAAGCAAGCTGTTAACGAATGGGAAACCCATACAGTGATCTTCACTGTATAAGCAATAACAGTGTAAAGTAGTATTGTGAGCTACTCTGATGACAGGATGATTTAAAAAAAAAAAAAATTATATATGTTCTGGAACCTTTTTTGGGCGTTTCGCATCCCGCGAATTTGCGTGGATTTTCCAAACGGCAAACACGCCAAAACCGCACTGCAATTTCAGATGCCATTCATTTCAATGGCACCTGAAAACGCGATTGCATGTTTACACTTTTTCAAATTGTGAAAAAATTTAAAAAAACCTAGTGTGAATGAAGCCTAAGACTAAAAGTGTCATTGATGTGTATTCATGACAGAGTGTTGTGAGTTTACCCTGCATTCATCATGTATTGGTGATAGCGCAGCCACCATTTGTCACATTTTGGTGAAGGTGGCTGGGATCTGACACCACTGTTGTCACACTCGAATCTCAACAACAGTGCCTACTAATATT